TCAAATATAATTTGGTCCAGGATCCCGTCACCTCTCCTCCTTTCTCTTCTTTGGGAGACGATGAACACGATAATATATCTGGACTCCGAATCTTTAGGCATATAAATCTTTTTTTTTCTATCAACTAGGTGCCAGTAACTAGTCATTATTCCTTTAATACAAGCCAACTGTATTGTTTTCCAGGCGCAGTATGTAACATCCATCAGCAGTCTGCGTCTTTGGGATAAATAACGAGAACATTAATTTTTACTGATCGTCTGTCTATCTTTATTTGTCAACAACAATCTGTGTACAGACAGAATTCTAATGATTTAACCCGTTTTTTTAATAGTACAGGCACCTTGGGATTTATATTCAGAGTTCATCCAATATCTAGTCCAAAATTTCAGGCAATCTCTCAAACAATTTCCCTTATCTACAACAGACATTTTTATTCTCTAGCGAGATGTACATTGCAGGCACCGATAGAGGAGATTGGAATGGCCACTTCTGTCTCACTAGCCATTATCAGCCAGTAGTGCCCAACCCAAGATCTTGCATCATTCGAGGTTCTAACCCACTGCCTGTTGATCAGAAGTCGAACGCCCCGACCATGTAAAACGAGAGCCCAAAAAAACAAGTACTCACTTGTGGACGTTGGTCAAGCTATTCATTTCATTAATTAAGTGCTGTACTCATGTCGTCCCAAAGCCATTGGAATATGGTCGAAAGTGGTCATCTAGTAGACGTCATGCGATCGTTCCGAGTCATCCATAAAGTGCCAGCGAGATGCTCTAATTTCCTGCGCTAGCGCATGCTTGCGACGGCAGAATCAGTGACGATACGATTAGCCAACCCAGTCTTGTGCTCGCAAAATCCGTTTATACAGGCCCTTGGCTCAATATGAATCCAGCATGCTTGTTCACACCTACCGCCACGTCGCGTTACGGCTACGAAATTAAGGTATTACCAATTCATAAGGCACTTTACGGCTCACTAATCCGCTCTTATGCGCGCAGAAGGTGTTTGTACAGGCACTACGGCTCCCTTGGCTGAAGACCAATTGTCTAATATCTCCTTCCCCTACCCAAGTCTTTGACAGAACTGGACTATAACCGCTGACTTCTGGATGTCTTCAACCCTTTCTCCTCCCCCATACTTACCATTCATTGGCTGTTTTAGCTTTTGCTACTTTAACCTTGCTGAGACGAACGTACACTAAATAATCGTAAACGCAAGTTTGCCTAACCTGACTCCATTGGTCTTTTATGTGAAAAGAGAGGGCATATAGGTCACTGCAGATGCTACCTCCATTCTTTGGCGCTGAAAAATTCCAATTTTGACTTCAAAGACGGGGTCCAGGAGGGCGGCAAATGAGTCCATAGAGACAACTGGACCCAGTGGATATACGCTTTTGCTCCAACCACTAAGATTTCTTCTGACTACAGGAAAGAATCACTCGTGTATGTTCTTGTCTAAGTCCTTTTTATGGGGTTGAGGACGGCCTCATAGTTTGCTGAAAAATAGGTTTCCCTGTCCCCTTCGAAGCAGGAGGGCTCCCGTTTTCATGCATCAATGTTGCCCATTG